AGCAATATAAGAGGAATAAGTACAAATATGAATTCAGTTCACCAACATCTTGAAGAACAAAGACCTGACATCCTTGTTCTCACTGAAACTAAAATCAGTTCTGCAACACCTATTGTGAACTATCTTTATCCCGGCTATGACCTACACCACCGATTTCGACATAATTTTGGGATCTGTGTGTACATTAAAAATGACCTTTCATGTCATCGAGAGGAGAAGCTAGAACCAGCGAACCTTGATATCATATGGCTAAAATTCACCTCAAAGTCATCGACCAAGTTTATCTGCTGCCTCTACCGACCGCCAAGTAACACCGATTACCAAAACTTTTTCGCGACATTATCCGAAAGCTGTGATAGCATACAGTCAAACTATCCACAGGCGGAAATTGTCTTTTTAGGCGATTTCAACGTCCACAATATACCCTGGCTGAAACACCACAACAAAACAGATAACGAAGGCAGAGAAGCAGAAGCTTTTGCCATAAGTTGTGGTCTAACGCAGCTTGTCGATGAACCTACCCGTATCTCAGAAAGGGGCGAATTTGCAGCGCTTTTAGACTTGTTCCTAACCACCAATCCTGACTCGTACACAATTCAAGTAGATGCTCCACTTGGTTCGTCCGATCATAAACTTATAATAACAAAGTGCGAAATGCTCATCCCACCAAGCCTACAACCACTTCCTCGTAAAATGTGGCACTATAAATCGGCAAAATGGAATGACCTAAAACAGTATTACCTGGATTTTCCATGGCAAGAGGTTTGCTTTAAAACAGCTGATCCCACTATTTGCTGTAATGAAATAACACAAGTAATCTTATCTGGAATGGACGCATATATCCCACATACAACTAAACGTAGAGCTAATGCAAAACCTTGGTTCAACAGCCAGTGTCAAACGGCTGTACAGAAAAAACACAGAGCATATAACCTTTGGAAACGACAACAAACCGCTCAAAACCACACAGAATTTATAGAAGCCAGAAATAGTTGCAAAATTACTATTGACTCCGCTAAAGAAACATACAATCAAAGAATAAAAAACAGGTTGCTGAATTGTCCAAGTAGTTCTAGGTCTTTTTGGTCTCTTGCAAAAGCTGTTGGATCTAACTTCACCAAGTCATCCATACCACCACTTACAGATAAAAATAATCACTTAGCCACAACATCAGAGGAAAAAGCCAATATGCTTGCCCAAATGTTTTCCTCCAACTCGAACCTAACAGTGCCAAACGGAAAAACTCCACCGTTCATTGAAAGGGTTTCCCATAGTATGCCAGAGGTACCCTTTTGTCACAGAGAAATACGAAAATCCCTAAAAAAGCTGGATACAAACAAAGCAATGGGTCCGGATGGCATTCCCGCAATAGTACTCAAAAATTGCGCCAACGAACTCACCCCAACTTTCGCAAAATTATTCAATTTGTCTTACAGGCAAGGAGTATATCCATCATCATGGAAGTCTGCCGCAGTACAACCCATTCCAAAGAAAGGCAAAAAGACAGATCCATTAAACTATAGACCAATTGCTCTACTTCCGGTGATATCAAAAGTAATGGAAAGAGTTGTGAACAATCACCTAACCAAGTACTTGGAAAAGTACAAAATTATCAACGATAAGCAATACGGATTTCGAAAATATAGGTCAACTGGCGATGTACTTACATTCGTCACTCACTTATGGCAAAAAGCGATTGAGTTGCGGGGTGAAACAGGAACAATTGCCTTAGATATATCTAAAGCATTCGACAAAGTTTGGCATGAAAATCTGCTCAACAAGCTCAAAGCAATGGGATTATCGCCGAAACTTTGCACTTGGTTTGAAAGTTACCTAAAGGACAGATCCATTTATGTTGCACTGGATGGCCAGAACTCCAACTCTTACCAAATAAATGCTGGTGTGCCACAGGGCACTCTTTGTGCCGTAGCATCTGGCAATGGTGTGAAGATAGAGACCTTTTCCTGTTCGCTTCTTATATTAGATCTGAAGATAATAAAGAAGCAGATTATGAATCACGTCAAGTGAATTTTGAAACGGAGTGGGAATTAAACAATATTTATTTTGATAGTGATATTAAAAAATTTGGTAGACCTGAACTAGATCTTTTTGCTAGTCGGATAAATTCAAAATGTGAAAAATTTGTTTCATGGCATCGCGATCCGGAGGCTTTTGAGGTTGACGCTTTTACATTAAATTGGAAGCGCCTGAAGTTTTACGCTTTTCCTCCATTTTCTGTGGTATTGAAAGTTTTGCGGAAAATTATTCATGACGAGGCAGAAGGAATAGTTATTGTTCCTTTTTGGACTACACAACCCTGGTATCCTATTTATTTGTCTCTTTTAGTAGGAACTCCTCTATTTTTTGAAGCAGCCATTGATTTGCTGCTTTCTGTTGACAGATCAATTCCGCATCCGTTATGGCAACAGCTTACCCTGGTGGCCGGGTTCTTATCCAGCAAGCGCTCCAGTTAGGGGATGTTCCAGGGTCAGCTTTAGAAGTTTGCATGTCTTCAGTTACTGCCTCCACGTTGAAACAATATGAATCAGGATTGAAACGCTGGTGGCAGTATTGTAACTCGGAAAATCTGAATGTATTTAATAACTCTATACCCTCAGTTTTGAATTTTCTGACCAAGTGCTATAACGAGGGGTCTGCTTATGGAACTTTGAACTCTTATCGTTCAGCGATTTCTCAGTTGTTAGGTCCTACTATTGCAGAGGATTTCAGAGTCAAAAGATTTTTTAAGGGTGTTTACCATTTGAGACCCAATAAACCTAGATATGAGAATACTTGGGACCCAACAATTGTGTTAAATTTTCTTAAGAACCTTGATAATGAGGTTATATCGCTAGAGATGCTTTCGCTTAAGTTATCTATGCTTTTGGCGTTAACTACAGGACAACGAGTGCAGACTTTAGCGTTAATTGAGTTAGACAACATCAAAACAACCCCTCGGGGCATTGAAATAAAGATTTCAAAACGTGTCAAAACGTCGGCGGTTAACAAATTTCAGCCATTATTAGAATTACTCTTTTACCCTGATGATTCTAATATATGTGTGGCTAGCACTATGTTGTACTATATAGAGGTAACCAGATTCTTGCGAAATAATCTTTGTAAACATCTTTTAATAACGTTTAAAAAGCTACATCATGATGCCTCGTCTCAAACCATTTCTCGGTGGATTAGAAGAGTAATGAGTGAAGCCGGAGTGGATACCTCCATATTTAGTACTCATAGCCACCCTCTTGTCAGACAGATGATAAAAACGATCGAGCTATCCAAACCACCTAAACGTAATAAAAACATCTGGGATGTATTACTCCTAATCAATTGGTTGAAAGAGGTTGAAATTGACGAAAATAGTCATTTTCAGGTTTCTCGACATCTCGCATTGATCCTGCTTCTAGCTTCAGGTCGAAGGGTGCATGACTTAACCTTGTTAAAAATGGGGGATGATAATTTGATTATTCAAGATGAGGCAGTGATGCTATGGCCGGACTTCGGCTCCAAGACTGACAGAAAATCATATAGGCAAACAGGTTGGCATCTTTCTAAATGCCCACAGGATAGACTTGATCCTGTGAAACGGATATCTAAATTTCTGGCGGTAACAAACAAACGACGTTCATCCGTTGAAAACCTACAGTCCCTATTTATAACCACAAGAGGTCGAGTTGCTCCTGCTTCTAGAAGTGTTATAGCGGGATGGATTAGGACGGCTTTTTCTGAAATCAGCTTGGACTCTTCTCCGGGAACTATTAGGTCAACGGTTGCTTCAGCCAGGAGGGATGTCCCAATAGATGTTATTTTGGGTAACGGCAACTGGTGTAGTGAGAGTAACGTGATAAAACATTATTTTAAGACAGTGAATAAAGTTCCTATTTATAATGAATGTGTTAATAGTCTGATTAACCAAACTTTTAAACCTATTTGGGGTATATTTCTATTTAACTGTTTTTTTTTACACTAACTACACTTGTGAAGAAGTCTAGCAGTAGTCGTTATTTCTTGTTTTTTGTTTTGAGAATTATATGTTTTGAGTTTCATCCATATGAACCATGTATACACTATTTTAGTTGAGAATAGTATTTTTCTTTTTCATGCCTGACATTAAAAAATTTAAGTAGTTTCCATAAAATGGATCTTTGCTTTCCTTCGATACCTACCTCCCAATTACCTATTTTATTTCACAGTACGCTTCGCTGCGTCGTCCGAATATAAACACGTCTAACAGGTCATGCCGACGGCACAGACCTGAAATAACCAACGTTTTTCCCCCAAAGGGATAAAAACGATATATTTCATGTCTTGCCTAGGCATGACCTATGTAAGGTCTTGACGACTCTGGTACTAAAGAATCCACGCCACGCGGACGGTCGTTCGCCGTCGTTCGACACCGAACGAGCGACAGGTGGGTCGTGCTAGGCGACGCAGCGAAGGAGAATGCGCATTGGAACAGGGCCGGCTGCGGAAAAATATAGAAGTGTAATCTCACAGGTCATGACTAGGCAAGACATGAAATATATCGTTTTTATCCCTTCGGGGAAAAAACGTTGGTTATTTTGTGGACGAGGCGGAAGAAGAAGAGCGTCAAGAACAATTAAGTTTGGAAAGGATAACCTTGCGAGATGAGTATAATGCCTTTCATAGGCCCAAAAGGGAATTCCGGAGGTATTTCCACCTCACTCCACACATGGCACCTGTGGTTAGAGCTGGAAGAATCCCAATTCAAATTAGAATATTGGGTGCTGTAAGATTTCTCGCTCAAAGCTCCTATCACAAGGTGGTAGGAGACGACTTCAATACATGTATGTCTCAGTCCACATTTAGCAGGGCATTAGGTTTGTTCCAACCCCATGTTTTAGAACGGTTCTAGAACCATTCTGGAATCATTAGGACTAGTTTTATCCGCATGCGTCAGCTCGGCACTGTTTTGGAACGATTCTAGATTGGAGGTTGGTTGGAACGGATTCGGGACGGTTTTTGATCTGTCTTGCCCATTTGGTTTTGCTTGGTCAAAATAACCTCACTTTTTGTTTGATGTAAAATGTAAACAAATAAATGAAATCCATTATTTAGTTTTTTTGTGTAAGCCACAAGAATCAAAATAATTACAAATTATTAAGTTAAAAACTGGAGAAAGTTGTAAGACTGCATCAGTAAATAATGGACACAAACGAAAATATATTTGGTAAGTTTCACATAGTTTACCTTTCCTGTTTTTTTTGAAAAGTGTGAATTGTGAAATGTTTAAACCCTAGCTAAGTTAACTGGGTGTCATGTCTTTCCCAAAGCTTAATGTAGGTATTTTTTTAGACTTGCAAGAATATATTATATTGAATACGGACAATGTAAGCTTCCCAAGCACTTCAGCAGCTTGTGATTTATTACCTAGCACTTCAGGTACAGCCTCGGGTACAGCAGCTACTAGAAAATTAGACCACAAATGGACACAAAACGAAACAAAAATCCTAATAGACCTGTATGGCAAATTAAAAAACAAAGTGGGCACATTCCAAATTAAAAATATTAAGATGTTGTGGGAGAAAATTGCTAATGAATTAGCAAAATTACATATAATTGTAACACCAAATAACTGCCTTAATAGGTGGAAGGTATTGGAGAGAAATTTCAAAAAATTTGTGGACAATCAAAATAAAACTGGTAAGCATTATGGCTTTTTGTATTGACTATGTTTTTCTTTATAGAAGTTCAAATATGCCATCTTGTTAGTAAAATATCACAAGATTTTGCAATTTGCAATAATATACTTGAGTATGTATTCACTTTTCATACAAATATATAATCATTTTTTAGGCAGAGGACGTAAGTACTTTGAGTATGAGGCTGAGATGAGCGAGATTTTTGGCAAAAAAAAAAATATAAATCCAGAAGTACTTCTAAGTACAGAAACAAAAGATCTTTTATTAGAAGATGTCCAAGAAAACATTGAGGAAAATGTTGCCAAAGATATTTGTGAAGAGGATTTAGAAAATCAAAGACCGACAAAAAAATGTAAATCCTCAGTTAAAGTCGAAGTGGTTAAAAAAAAAATTACAACCATGGAAAAAATTCGGTTGGATCGAAAAGAATATTATAACGCCAAATTAAATATTGAAGAACAAAAATTGGTAGAAATTAAAAGAAGAAATGATTTAATTGAACAGAGAAATTTATTATTCAAAGAAAAAAACCAGATTTTAAGGGAAAAAAAGGCATGCAATCATTGTAATGTTTAATATTTATATTTATATATAATTTATTAATATTATTTATTTATTATATAAATCTATCAACTATAATTTTTTGGAGAATATATATTTTTTTATTTAGTTTTTTGGAGATGTATATTTTTTTGTTTAGTTTTTTGGAGAATGTATTTTTTTTGTTTAGTTTTTTTTTGGAGGATGTATATTTTTTTGTTATTAAATTTAAATCACAATTACCTACCCCTTTGTTTTCAAATTATTAAATACACTTCTTTGAGACCTTCTACTAAACCTGTCAGTGTTTAGTGGAAGGGCTGTATTTGAATCCATTTAAGTAAGATTGTTCTCTTGGGATTTTTCCTTTTACAATTATTTCATTTTCTTTGTATTTCATATTTTACCTGGTATATCAAAGTCTAAAATATATGAAATAATAAGTTTTATTTGTGAATTTTTATTCTCAAAATACAAAATATTCAACTTAGATAATAATCTTAATTGGGACTATTTATAGTGGTAGATTATTGGCTATCCTATCCCGCACTGCACGAGCTTCTCCATCTTCAACTTCATCGTCAGGATCATAATCTTCATTTTGAAGTACCTGTTGATTTTGATTAAGTTGGGGTTGGAATTCCTCATTGTTAATTTCAAAATTGTCCTCAAGGGCTATGTTATGAAGAACACATGCTGCTCTAATTAAATGAACAATTGTTCTAATATTCCTTATTTTGATATGGTATAACTGTCGAAATTTTTGTTTTAGAATTCCAAAACAGTGCTCTATAACATATCTATTTTTTGCTAATTTCACATTGTAATTTTGCTGCCTTCTATTTAAATTTCCTCTATCTTTATATGGAGTGAGCAAATTATTGTCCAATGGATAACCACTGTCCCCTAAAATAAAATACCTTCCACATTTCTCTTGCAGAGTATCTTTCAAGGGCGAATTTCTATAAACTCTGCTGTCATGGACAGATCCTGGATAGCCAATAAAACGTCCAATATTTTGCTTCTGTGGTCACACACGGCTTGCATCTAAAAGATTTAAAATGGATTGGTAAAAAACTTGAAATTCAGTACATTTATTTTCAAACCTGAATAGAGTAATAACCCTTTCTATTAATATAGGAGTCAGGGTCATTATTTGGTTTGTCAATCTTAATATGACATCCGTCTATGGCTCCTATTACATTAGGAAATGCATTTGTCCTAAAATGTTCCTCAGCAACCCTTTTTTCGTTATCATTTGGCCACTTAATGATTTGAGGAGATAAATTGCTTAAGAAGAAAGTTGCTCTAGTTATAATTCTATTAATGGTACTAATTGTTACATTAAAACGATCAGCAACATCTCTAAAGCTTGCTGTTTGGTGCCCCATGTACCATAAGTATATCAAAACCTAAAACAGATACATATATAAATTTATAAAGCATAAAATGTTGGAAATCATCATTGAAAATAACTTTTGAATGTGGGTAATCTGAAAGAGCTCAGCTTAAAATATTTATTGCTAAAATTAATAAATAAAACTTACTTGATGAAATGCAGGAAGATTTCCATATTGTCCTGGTTGGTTTTTGAAGTAATCGCTACCTTCATACCTTTCACCAACACTATGAACTGTTGCTCTTGAGAGCCTGAAATGCTCGAAAAACACTTGGTCGCTGTATTGTGACACTGTTTCCTCTAAAATAAACAAAGATATTGAAAATGTGTAAAACGTTTTATTCACATATGAGTAAATATTTTAGGTTAAACTAATAACTTTTCCATCTCACCCAGATAATTTTCATTTTTGGTTCTTGGTTGATTCAAAATTAGTTCTTCCAAATCATCTTCACTCGACTCCCCTTCTGTGAAAATATCACTATCTTCGTCACTACTCATGATGTCCAATTTAGAATTTACAACACTGAAAATTAAACTCCAACCAAACAGAAAAACAAAATCAACAATTCAAAATTCAACAAAGGGTATATCAATCAGCTGATAAAAATTTACCAAATGCGCATGTCAGTTCCAACAGTTCTTGCTTGCTGGCGAGTATCGAAATTACTGTTCCGAAACCGTTCTATAACGATCAGAAAATTGGTTGGAACGTAAAGGGAATCGTTCCAGAACGATCCCCATCATGGTTGGAACGCTTTTTGGCATATGCGCATGAATAGAACGGTTCCTGAACGGTTCTCGGCGGGGTTGGAACAAACCTATTAAGTGATGAAGTATGTTTGGCATTGGGTTAAATTTCCCCTAATCGAGGCGGAGAAGCAGCTTAAGAAAGAGGAATTCATGGCCCAATTCGGATTTCTGGGAGTCATACGGTGTATCAATGGTACCCACCACCCTTTTGCGATTTGCGCTATTTTACCACAGTATTTTTACTAAATGCTAAAGCTGAAATAACATTTCAGGGAAAGGGAAATATTAAAGGCGGTTATTTTACTTTTACCAAATACGAAATTAGGAAATATCTCTGGGAAATATTCAAAACAGAACTATTCAAAATATGACAAAACCTTTGACAAAACATAAACTCTGACAGAATTTGAACGTTTCGCGATAATGGGATAGAGAAAGATAGAAACAATTTTTCCATTACAGAAAGACCTAAACGGGTCTTTCTATTTCTCTATGCCGACCGAACACCGAACGGAACTAGAGTGCTACCGAACTGGCATACAGAATAAGGTTTTGTGAGAATAGAAAGAAATTTCTTGCCTAGAAAGAATTTTCTATGTCTATGGCGTTACAGAATACGCACTCAGGTCCCTCCCACACAAAGAAAATAAATATTTTTGTGAATGATGAGCGAACCGTACAATTTGATTTATACCCCAAACCTTGGTGAGGAAGTCTATGGAGTTCCTAGTCATTCCAAGGAATTCCATGGGAATTTTCTATTCTGTGGAAGTTGATATATTAAAAATAAAATATTTTATTTTAGGAGCCTCTGGATGGCCCAGCTTTAGCAATCGGATGCTAAAAGTTGAAAAAAGCAAAAAGGGTAGGTACTTGTACTGAAAAATATGGACATGAACTCCGATTCTTTGCTCTGACCGTAGCATTTTATTCCCGTAGGGCATATAACTTTGTCAAACGTACCTTTATTCAGTCGTTACCTCATCTAAACAGAATATACCAATGATAGAGAGTAGTGGATGGAAAACCAGGATTCACAAATGAAGGTCAGAGACACTTTATCCGTTAGGACAATTAGGTCATGTCCTACGGGCCACTAGAGGATGGAAGGCTAACTGCTTTCCTTTAATTTATAATATAAAATATAAAAGCCTACTATATTAAAACATCCACTTAATTGTTTTGTAGCAGTAGCACACTGCACAAGCACATTTGGTTTGGCCAGAGTGCACTGCCTGACGTCACGATGCTCTGGAATCGCTCCACTCGCTCCATCGAGCATCAATCCGGAATACACCCTTAAGTCACCGAGCTGCACTGACTCGCCGTCGCATCATAGCGCCGCACGGGCACGTGGCAACTGGCAACGACTACAGCATGACCTGTTAGTGTTTGCGCTGCTTTGCCAAATTGTAAGTTTCTTTGAGCTTCTTCTGGAGAACCCAGGGACTTGAGCAGTGTCTTAAGGGTTTAGTATACTACGAAGTCGTGCCTTGTTGTTGAGCTTGTAGGACATGCACAGGCAACGTGGTACGAATTTTCCTCAGAGTTGCAACCTTTTATGCATCTCTTCCTCGATAATGAATTCTATCCCAAGCCATGCAGCTGTTCTTCCAAAGCAACCATTAGTACACTAGTCTCCAGCTTCCATATGTGGTGATTGGTAGGCTGGGAACTCAATGCCATCATTTTCTTTCAGGACGTTCCTACCATATAGCATGTTTTGTGACCATTCTTGTTTCATCATTTTATAGTACTTTCTTTGATTTTACCGGATACAACTTGGCAACATTTTTTGTCTTCATATTCTGCTGGGGGCGATTCTATAAGCAGAAAGCGAAACAATGACGTTCGTTATAGGACGCTTTGTTCGGTTTGCTATTCTATAACCCCTTTTGAGAAGAATCGGGGACTCCGATCACGAAGCCGATTGCAAAGCGAAAGCGATGAATTTTGGCTCGCGTTTTGCATCGCTTTCCACTGGAACGTTTCTAGTTTCCATAGTGAAATCTGTGATCATCGTCACGCTAGACACCATAGAATACTAGACACATACGGGTTATGTTATTGGTTTTGATCTTGACGAGGCTTTCATTATGTTGATTTTTATTTGTTTGCGCAAATTTATTTTTTCTCTATTAAGTTTCATTCATTAATTTATTTATAATTTTAGAGAAAAGATCAAAAATACATCCGTTTCAACCTCCTATCTGTTAAACCAAATGGGTCACTTCACTTCTAGCTCGAATCATTGTATAAATCTGGTATAAACAGTCTTTTTATTCATTGCTTGAAGGAATCTACTGTCTTCTCGCGTTAACTTGTGTTGATTTCTTTGCTCGAATTTCCTATACATAATACGTATTACATTATACAGGGTGTCACGAAAGGTTTGTTACAAACTTCTAGGGATGGTAGATCTCGTAAAAATAAAACTTTTTTCTTAATAAACATGTGTCCGAAAATGCTTCGTTTTCCAGATATACAGGGTGGCCCGAATTTGGGCCTCATCATTGGTATCTCGGTAACCGTAAGGGTACGGACATGCCGAAGATACATGAATGAGCGCGGTGGAGGTCGCGGTCGCGATCGCTACATCGATGTCAAGACAAACCTTTATTTTCTTATGAGACCGCACATACCAAGGATGCTTCACTAGTTCACCCTCGCCGCCTATCATCGCAGTTTACAGCGATGTCGATGGCAGAACAAAATATTTTGATTTTATATGGCGGTCGAGCTGTTGGCCGCGTAGAAACTGCATGTTCATTGGTGCTCTTTAAACCACATGACATTCTCGAGTGAGTGCGGAATGAGGAACGTGTTTATTTTTTAAGTTTGTTGTGGTATTTCGTTGTTCAAAGGTTGTGAGACGCTTGGAGTT